ACCGATAGCGATTGCGCATCGTCCGACGTAAATGGTGGCCACTTTTGGCTGCAACCTACCTTTTCGAACTCCCATACTATCCGCATTCCACCTTGCGCTCTCTGGAAAATGTCGCTCCTTCACAATGAAGAGTATGTTACAGGATTGCGATCTCCGCATCGCCTATGTCACGCGGCGGTGGTTCGTGTGTTGTTCTAGGGACTGATGGGGGTTTCTAGTTTCACGATATGGCAACTGCGCACTTCTTACCTCTCGACCATTAAAGATGGAATCGGTGACCGTCTCATCAATGTGAACAATACCGTGCTCAATACTCCCGGTTTCCGTGCTGCGGGCTGGTCTTCCGCCTCCGCCAACCCCAACACCCAGACCGGCGCCGCCCAAATCAAGCGGACATACTCGCCTCCCATACCCCTCACCACAGCCGTCGCCTCGGAATATTATCAACTTGGTATTGCCAGAGATGCCAATGAGTCTGCGAGGCTTGGGGCGGGGGAAGATGGCGATGACGATGAAGGCGGGATGGTGACAGGAAAGAGTAACATGGACATTATCGGACGGCGGAATCTCAGAGGGAAGCGCACGCACCGGAGGGATCGTCAGCAAAATGATCAGCAGAAGCATCGGGAGGCTGAGGAAGACGATAGTAGTGACTTGAGTGACGAGAGCGACGATGATGGTGATAGCGCTCCAAGGTTGGTGATTCGATATTCCTCGAGACAACCCGGGAGACAGCTAAATGCTCACTTACTGCAGCGGTGCCAACCAGATGAAGTTTCCGAAATTGCCCATACGAACAAGAGCCGGATCGTCGCCGATACGTTCAACTGATCGCCAGGAGGGCCCTCAGGTCATGGTCACCTCTCCATCGCATCCAGCTATGGGGACCCATTACCGCACGGGTTCGTTGGGAACTGCTGTTAGCAGCGTCAACGAGCGGCCGCGCCGCGATACAACTACAACGGCCAGCAGTGACCTTTCGTCCGACAACGATCTCAGTTCATCGCTTTTCAAGCGGAGACAGATCCAGTTCTCCGGACAAGACCAGGTCATCGAACTTAGGAGGCACCGACACGGGGCGGGTAACAGAGACCTCGAAGAGCTGGATGAACAGGCAGAGGACTCCGGTGCAGAGTCGGTGGGTTCGGCTCTTTCATCGGAGTTCGACGCCACCGCGGGGTCGACATCACTCTTGGAAAATGTTGGTATTACCGGTAGCTTGGATTCCTCCTCGCCAATCGCGTTGATGCACAAGTTGCAGAATGGGGCCGGATCACAAATCGCATCGCCACGAAAGTCCCGGACTCCTGCACCAGAGTTGCAGGACCTCCCGCCGCCGCGTCCGATCAGCACGATCCAACCGGTAAGTCTGCTATCGAAGGCCCTCAATGCGCGCAAGCAAGCGCCTACGAACCCGGTCGAGAAGTTTGCAGTACTGTCCGGCAAAGGTCTGACTGATGTGCTCAATATCAAATTGTACTTGCCATTCTCTACTGATCCGGATGAGCCATTGGATCTGCCAATTGCCCGGGAGTCGAAGCTAGCAGAGCAGCCAGCCCCAGTGACGGTCGTGGAAGCCATTGGGTTGGCCCTCTGGCGATACACAGAGGATGGCCGCGAACCGGCTATCGATCGGAACAAGCTCACTGTGAACATGTGGACTCTACGGATGGTGGAGGATGGTGAAGTCGAGTATGACTTTCCCGCACTCAGCCGCACATCTCCAATCGCCGATTTTACCTCGAACAACAACCGGGCTGCTGGCCGCCGTACTCGTGGGAAACAATACGACGAATTCGCCCTTGTGGAAGCGTCTAGTGCCGAATTTGAAGAGAATGAGCGTCTCTTTCCCATGTACAGTTTGGCACCATCTTCGGAGGATAGTAGTGCCGATGTTGCTGCAAGTGCACCTGCTCCGACAAGCCAGCCTATGCCACAGGCCAAGGCGCCTCGTCCGAACCCTATCCTTGGACAACCCTTTTCCTCGGCTCTGAACGACAATACTTTGACACCTGCCGATCGGCCAGCTGTGCCTACGTCTCATGCTACCCCTCGCCTAGGGGTTTCCAAAACGTTGAAGATCCGATACACCAATGTAGAGGCCTCGACACAGGTAATGACACTCAATACCTCAACTGATAGCTACATTGCCGAGATTCTTGACTCCGTGTGCAAACGCTGGGGCCTTGACAAGGGCAACTACCTGCTGAAGGTGATGGGATCCAGTACAATCGCACCTTTGGACCGAACAGTGGAAGCTCTGGGCAATCTCACCGACCTAGACCTCGTGCGCCGGCGATTCGGACCTCAAATGACTGGCTCTCCGGGCAGCTCATCGCCCAATGCGCCCCTTCTCATTGACAGCAACACCGCTCCGGTTAAGAAAGGAAAGAAGAGCGGCCAGCGTATGCTTCACCCTCTCACCCAGAAACAAGACCTTACTGGCGGCTACTATCGACGATACTACGTGTGGCGCAAACAGTCTATGTCGTTCACGCAGTCCAACCATCGGGTTTTGACGTTCGACAACGATTACATGCATATCATGCCGGCGGATACGGGCAAGACGGTATCCGACACGAAGACGCGGTCGATCAGCTTCAACGACGTAGTGGGGTGCAAAGTGAGTCGACGACACCCTAAGAACTTCCGGGTGGTGGTTCTGCGCGGCAACGATGCCAACGAGCAGAAACGGTATGACTTCGAGGCGCGCAATGCTCTCGAAGCGGTGGAAATCGTGGATGAGATCAAGAAAAATATGGCCCATTATCGCATCTAGGCATGCGGGCTTTTTCTAGCCCATTGTATTTTTGTTACGCGGGGAGGGTGATCGTCATTGGGGATGAAACAGCATTTTGGCATGGAGTGCAGCGGGCGTTCATTTATTTTGTGTTCTTTTTCTTGGTCGGTGGGGGAGGGGGTGGGTTCGTTATTCAATTCAGCCGTGATGGCATTCGAAATACCGTACATAAAAACATACATCTGTTGAGTAATCAACGGACCGATAGCAATGATGAAGGATTAAGGTTTTAAGTCAGTGTAACACAAGACAAGATGCATGCCACAGCATGGACAGGTAAGCCATATGGCGAATATGGGGAGAGAGGAGGACAGATGCAAGCGTCCCATAGTCTGGCCCTGCTCACCCGAAACATACATGTGTAGACGGATAGGCGCAGGCTCAACCACTGAAATCGAAGCTTAAAAGGGTGGACGAGACCGAAGAAAAAAACCCCCCGAAAGCGGGGCGATCCACAACCAACCTGTTAAGCTAGACTATACTAGATTGGCACTAGACCACTTGGAGGTATGAGTAGTATATCCATTTAGGCGGGGCGGTCGGTGATGAAGTCACCGCCAGGCCAGTTTGACTGACTCTCAAACTCTCACTGGTAACCACTGGTAAATTTGAATGATCCATAGAGTGCATTCACAGTGTTCTACTGTAGGGAGTACTAGTGCGTGCCACGTTGACTCCGGAACTGAGTGGACTCATGTACACACCTTCCCCCTATCAACCCTCTCGTTTCACATTCGGATCAATGCAGCTTCAACTGCAGAGTGACATGCATGTCTTATCTCCTGTGGGCGGTTGCTGAGTGGGAAAAGAGAGTTTGAAACTCTCAGGAAGGAGCAGGGAACCAAGAGTAACCACTTAACTACAGTACACTGTTATATGTTGGACAGTACTTTTTACTGAAGGCATACTCGGTCTATCACGTCAGGACGGATTTTAACCCTTGGCGGAATCGCTCCATCAATTGGTCGATAATCATCGGAACAGCCGATCTGAGAACGGAGGGATGATGACCTCATCGCATCGGAGCTTGATGAGAGATTGATGTGAATGATGAGTATGACATCTCCCAGAGGGCCCTGGTCCATGGTTCGTGGCGACTTTGATGGGTTAATGAGCCTCGGTGGGAAAAACAGGTCATGATGATATAGTAGTTAGACTATCTTCAAGATCATTATCCTTCCATCCTTCGAACTCGTGGAAGGACGGACTGATCAGGTCTAGATGGTGTCGGGTGGTCGGTGTTTATTCGGGAGGTATTGATTCATGAGTGAGAGAGAGAGAGAGAGAGAGAGAGAGAGACAATGCTTGTCATTCAGCTAGTCTATTGATGGAGATCGGACTTAGGTAGTGTAGTGGACAGACAGTACCTGCACCTGTAGTTATAGCAATTGCCTACTAAGATATAGCCAGGCCCCATTAACATTATCCCTGATCTAACTGGAGCTAAGTACATCTAGGTAAGGACAGTACTAACTGATGCCCAGCCAGCCTTGAGCTTGACGCAAATCCAAACCCCGCTTCTTCTTCTTCCTCTTCCTCTTGAGAGGTTGACTTCCAGCTGTTTTGGCTTCCCTTTTTCCAACCTCCTCTTCCTATTAAGTCCCTTTCTTTTCTCGGTCTTTCTGTCTGCTCTTCTCGTACTTTTTCTGCCTCCTCCTCGTTCTTCTCTGCACCGTCAAACAGTCAAGAGATCGATCAATTATTCTTGCATCCATCCTTCGACCCAATTGAGTTTCCGTTGACCGCCGTCTCAGTTCAGAGTTGAGACTTTCTGCTTGGGTGGCTCCGCTGTATCCGCGCCCGAACCATCCATTCCAAAAGAAAAAGAGCTGATTGAGACAAGAGAAGGAAAGAACTTAAAGTCAGAAAAAAAAAGGAAAGGAAAAAAAAAGCTGGCTGCTTGTTGCCCACGTCTCAATCAATTCGGGTCCCCCCTCCTTTGCTGTTCCCCTCCCCCTCCAACTCCCTTTTTGCCCTCCCCGAAAAGTGCAGTTGCGGTGCTGCAAAAGAGGGGCTGAGACTAACTAACTACTCTTCTCTCGTGTCGTGCACACAATTCCGTCCCCTCCCTCAACCCTTCCCTTCCCCTCAACGTATCCCCCCCAAATCCTCCAACTTCTTATTTACTCCCACATAGACCTTCGTGTATGGTCTGTGTGTTCGTTTTGCATTTCAAACTTGTATCAGATTTCTCTTCTCGATGCCTAGTTTAGGAGGACTGTTGAAGAAGCGGCGAACTAAGGATTCGCAGACCCTCTCTAAAGAGCTTGAAGCCGGTTCGGCCCAGACGCAGACGTCACCAAACGCTGCCGAAGACGACCACAACCACAACCACCACCACCACCACAACCCTCTTCACTATCTCACTCACCACCACCACAATAACCCCGACCACCACCAGCAGCAAAATCAGCAGCAAAACCAGCAAGAGCACCAGCAACCTGCCTCCAATTCCGCCACTACCGCTGACCCCGCAAATCAGCCGCAAAATTCGGCCGCCAACCAGCTCAACCGCTCTTCCACAGCCGATCAATCCAACGAGGGTCAACCAGTCTCCATGCAATCTACCGTGTCGCAAGCGTCGCCTTCTCAACACACCTCCGGTGTTTCACAGTCCAATGTCAATGCCGCCAGCATACAGAACATAATTCACTCCTCTCAGCAGGGCTCAACGCACTCTGGCTCCGGCAGCCAGGCGCAGGGTCAATCAGCCAATCGCAATGATGCTCGTACCACCAAGGGAAAATACTCCCTAGATGACTTCATCTTGCAGCGCACATTGGGAACCGGCAGTTTTGGTCGTGTTCATCTAGTGCAGTCCAAGCACAACCATCGCTTCTATGCCATCAAGGTGTTGAAGAAGGCGCAGGTGGTCAAGATGAAGCAAATCGAGCACACCAACGACGAGCGTCGTATGCTGAACCGGGTCAGGCATCCGTTCCTGATCACTCTCTGGGGTACCTGGCAAGATTCGCGCAACCTGTATATGGTCATGGACTTTGTAGAGGGTGGTGAACTTTTCAGTTTGCTGCGCAAGTCCCAGGTAGGTGGTCGCACAATGCTCCGTGGTCTCGGAGTCCTTCCCTGAGTCCGTGCTAATAAGCTTCAGCGGTTTCCCAATCCTGTCGCTAAGTTCTACGCCGCTGAGGTGACCCTTGCCCTGGAGTACCTCCACTCTCAGCAGATCATCTACCGAGACCTCAAGCCCGAGAATTTGCTTCTGGATCGGCACGGACACTTGAAGATCACCGATTTTGGTTTCGCGAAGGAGGTTCCTGACATCACATGGACCCTTTGTGGAACTCCCGATTACTTGGCCCCGGAAGTCGTGTCTTCCAAGGGCTACAACAAATCCGTGGACTGGTAAGGAGCTATCCGCTGGTGGTTCTGCAGCACTGCTAACTTTACTAAAGGTGGTCATTGGGAATTTTGATCTTTGAGATGCTCTGCGGTTTCACACCTTTCTGGGACAGCGGCTCCCCTGTGAAGATCTATGAGAACATCCTGCGAGGCAGAGTCAAGTACCCGCCTTACCTGCATCCCGATGCCGTCGATTTGCTATCGCAGCTCATCACAGCGGACCTCACCAAGCGTCTGGGTAACCTTCATGGAGGCTCTGAGGATGTCAAGAACCATCCCTGGTTCGCCGAGGTTACCTGGGACCGCCTGGCTCGGAAGGATATCGATGCTCCTTATGTGCCGCCCATCCGGGGCGGGCAAGGTGACGCCAGCCAGTACGACCGGTATCCCGAGGAGACGGAACAGTACGGCATGGGTGGAGAAGACCCGTATGTAATCCCGATTGCTTCCCTTTCGCGTTTAGTCTTGCTAACTTGAGATAAGTCACGGTCATCTTTTCCCCGACTTCTAATGGTCGCCATGGTTCATGATGAGATGATATCCCGCCTTTCCATGGATTTGTTCTTGCGGAATTGAGTCGATTGATGGTTCCGGGGGCGTTTAAGAGCGGGTATAATCCTCCCCGGAGTTATCTCCCGAGGCTATCTCCTAAAATAGCCATATCTTGAGTTGTCATTTATCACTGTTGCTGCGATGATTTTGCTCTGCGTCGGCTTGTCTGTTTCCATGATCGCTGGCCGAATCAAGCCTTGGCTGCTTCAGACTTTAGAGCATATAACAATATGGTCTTAACCTGTTCATATATCTCTTTATCTCCCTCCTGGGAACTGGCTCAGCCCTTTCTCCGTTCCCGTCCCTCGATTCCTGTCTCTCTTGATGATTGATAGGTGCGACTCGGTTTCGACTCGCACGGTTGCTCGAGCAAGAAAACACCGTCCTTTGCCTATGGCTTGCTTACTTTCTGCTGCTGGTTGTCATCACGAAGGGATGTGGCTGGAGTTACTTACCGCGGTGGCGGTGCTGAATCTTGCGGGGGCGCAGGTCTGCTGTCCAATCAACCACGACCGCTCTTTGAATTGGTGTCGTGCTTTTTTCTGTTATCTATGTTGTGCAAATATGGGGATATATTTGGGTTTTCTTGGATCGTTTCTCTTTCCGTGTCGCGTGTGGAGGCTATTGTGTCATGTACATACAATTGGGGATTTTCTAATAGCTATAAAAGTCGACCTTGGAGATACGTGGACAACACGACTGCCACTCGGTAGTTGACGTTTGAGAAGAGAAGAGAAGACAAGAGACGAAAAGACCTAGATACTGGAATGGCTGAAGAGACTCTTTTTAATTCGAGCAAATCGCCTGACCCTGTCCTTTCCAAAGAGCAAGTGTAAGGGCTCTCTTAAATGACCACCCGATAGTATACATAGGAAACACGAACCCCCACAATGCCTTGTATCCTGGGTTCCCGCTTCACGCAACGCACGTCTACAAGCCCAGAAGAAACCATCAGCTCTCAGGCCTGCTGCTCACTGACACCACTACCACTACTCCCGTGATACAGGAGGATGAACAGTCAACGCCGAAACCCAACCGACATAGCGACTTCTTCTTGTTCTTTTACCCAGATGTCTCGGTTTGAAGGATTGGAAAAGGGATTCGACTCCGGAAAACTATAGAAATACAGAGAGGGGAAAAACGTTGTTTATATTCTTTTTTTCTGAGCATCTGCTTCCGCTCACAGAGAAACCCCGGACAGGTCGGCGCCGCCCAGGCTCTTGGATTCCTTGGAGACACGGGCGATGTAGGCGCGGCTGCTGGCGTTCCAGAAGCCGATGTACTTCTCCATGCATTGCGACAGGCAGGTGGACTCCTTGGCCGTGAGGGAGGGGCCGGGCGTGGGGACGCAGGCGTCGAAGCAGTGCTCGTTGACCTTCTGTGGTGGGTGGTTAGATTTTGTGGGCATGGAAATGGAAACGAAGGGGTGCTGGGTGCTGGGGTGCTGGGTATGACTCGGAGGATGGAAGATAAGTAAGTCAGAGGAATGGGAGGGAGGGAGACATACGCCGATCAGGCTTCGGGCATTGCTCATGGCGGCCTCTTCCTGGACCTGACGGATGAGCGAGGCCTTGATCTCCTGGCTGGTGGAGGGGGAGGAGGCCTCGGCGGAGGCGGAGGAGGAACCGAAGAGGGCCATTGTGTAAGTATTCGAGATATGGAGGGAGGGAGAGGGTGTTTAGAAAGGAGAAATGTGGTTAATATACAAAAAAGTTAATGAGGGAGGAAAATGGTAGGTTGTATCGGAGAACCGTGACGAGGGGGGGGGGGGGGGGGGGGGGGGGGGGGGGGGGAGTTCAAGATCTTGCGCGGCCGCGGAGATCATATTGTGGCTGGTGAGTGTCCGGTCCGATGAAAAGCTGCGCCACGGCAATGAGCTACTAGCTAAGCTAAACCGTACCGGCGATGTGGACACTTGGAGAGTTTCCCGCTATGTGGTTGTTTAGTTAGTTATAGATCCCTTCTCCTCATCCAACCACCACACAGACACACACACACCACCTGTCATTCTCTCTCTCTCTCTCTCTCTCTCTCTCTCTTCCTTTCCCCTCCGACTATCTCCGGTGTTCGTTCTTTTCTCCCCTCCAAATAACTTTTTGTGAAACTCCCCCTTTCCCGGAGTCTTTATTCTTCTTCCGTCGATTGAGGTGAGTTCTGGATTTCTGGTTTGTTTATTTGAGTTTCCTCCAACCCTCAAGCTTGCTGGCCATCTGACGTGTGGGGGGAGGGTGCTCTTTTACCCGAACCTTTGCCAGAAGCTGTTATACGTCCTGGTGACCAAATCCAAAAAAAAAAAAAAAAGCTATCTTTCTCCCGTTCGCGACCTGTTGCCGACCTTGCGCGCTTTCGTCGCTTGTTCTTCGATCTCACCGACCTTTGGGTGTACAGCCAAGTTTCAATTAAGATTGTGTGATATCACCATGCTGCTTCCGCGGCTCTCGTCTCTCCTCTGCCTTGCTGGCCTCGCTTCGGTCCCCCTGGCCAATGCCTACGACGGTGATGATGTGAAGAGCATCCCGGTGTGTAGCCATCCAAGCCCAGACTCAAGACGACCAGACCGTTCTTGCTATCCTAGATCATTCATAAACTAATGCGACGCGCGGAGGGTGGTATAGCTTCGGACCCATAGTCTCGCACCGGTAGGGTTTCTCTTGCGCACGAACAGCAACATTACCGCCCTCTTACTGACCCACGGACTATGTAGCCATACTTGGACTCCGACTTCCAAAGCCGCTGGTTCGATTTTGGTGGTGATACGATAATCCGGGCGGACCAGTACGAGAGATCCCCCGACACTTATCGGTTCGGTGTAAAACTGACCACTTGCGCGTTGCGTTGTTCTTTCGTTCCAGATACATCCGTCTTACCTCGGATCGACCTTCACAGCAGGGATGGATCTTCTCTCGGGTGCCCTTGACCGCGACGAACTGGGAGGTTAGTTTCAATTGTGCTTGATGGTTTTTTGCACGGTGGGGGGGAATTGGTTGATGAGGGGGCACGGTGGGCTGATATGCGAGACGTTCTGTCATAATAGATCGAGGTCGAGTTCAAGATTCACGGCGCCGGCAACCTGCACGGCGATGGGTTCGCCATGTGGCTCACCAAGCAGCGCGCGACGCAGGGTCCCGTCTTCGGCTCGACGGACAACTTCGAGGGTCTGGGCATCTTCTTCGACACCTACAAGAACAACCGCCCCGGTACTACGTTCCCCTACGTCATGGCCATGATGGGTGATGGCCAGACCTCCTACGACCAGGCTCATGATGGCCGCGCCAATGAGTTGGCTGGATGCTCTGTACGTTATGCCTCTGCTTTTGTGACTTTTTTCCTTGCGGATACTAATGCTTTGTTTGCCGAACAACAGGCTCGCGGTCTCCGTGGCGCCTCCATCCCCACCAAGGCCCGCTTGACCTACTTCCAGGATAAGACCCTGACGCTGGAACTGCAGTACAAGAAGGAGGACACCTGGATCCAGTGCTTCGAGCTGAACGCCGAGGACAAGAACATCGCCATCCCCTCCGTCGCCTACCTGGGTTTCTCCGCAGAGACGGGCGAGCTCAGCGACAACTTCGACATCGTCTCCGTCAAGGCCCAGAACCTGTACAGCGTCGGCGGCGGCAGCCCCGGTGCGAAGAGCGGGCCCTCGCGCGCCCGCGGGCAGGATTCGGCTCGGGTCAAGCGCCGCCAGAAGAAGGGCAGCTGGGGCTGGTTCTTGTTCAAGGTTGTGCTGTTCCTGGCCGCGGTCGTGGGCGCGTACGTGGGTTGGACTGCTTATCGGTCCAAGCAGCGGTACTCGAGATTCTGAAGTGATTGGGTGGGTAGGTAAAGAGATGAGAAAGCTTTTAGTTTCTTGTGCATGCGTATATGAATTCGACTGAGCAGGCGAAGATTTCTTAGCCTTGAGGACTTACGGTGTTTCGGTAATCGTTGTATTAGTCGTAATCTATAGGTCGAGGGTATCAATCGCTAATCAAAGGACACGCGCCAGTGATGCATATATGCCAACTGGACAAAGTCGGACCGGGATCAGGCAGATTCCCTGGTCCTAAGATCATTCCACAAGTGATCGATGATCTGAAACACCTCCGTCACCGAGCGCAGCACCGCCTCCTCGATCCCGAGCACTCCATACCGCTGCTGGATCTTATCCGGATGCCAGCGAACGCGCTCCGCCTTCAGCACGGCCAACAACTCCGACGGCCCGTTGGCAGCCTGAGGGGAATGCCGCATAAACCCCTCCACATTCTCCTTGCTCACATCCCTGCGCTTCCCCGAGTCCACGGGCCAGAAGACGAGATTGCGGAAACTGCCCTTCTTGCCCCCTTTATCCCCTCCCTCCCCCTCCTTCCCCAATTGTTGACCACCACCATCACCACCACCACCAGCAACAGCAGCAGCAGCAACAGCCCCATCCAACCTCCCCCAACACCCCCGATAAGCCTCCCACGCCTCCTTCCACGCCCGTTCGCGCTTCCGCTCCCTCCCGCGCCGCAGACTCGCCTCGATGGCCTCATCGAACGCCGTGCGGGCATTCTCCCCGGCCTGCCGCTGCCGCTGTGTCTTCTCCCGCCGACGCTTCCGGTCCCGCTCCGCCCGCAACCGCGCCTGCTCCTCGAGCATCCCCTCCCGCGTCCGCTCCCACATCTTGCTCCGCACGTAGGCCGCGTACTCCTCCTCGTCCATCTGCTCGAGTTCCCCCGCGGGGCCCGTGGGCATGCTGGGGACGGCGTACGTGTGGATCGGTTGCCCGTAGACGGATTCCCAGTAGGTGGCGCCTTCGTCGTCGCCGAGGGCGTCGAAGAGGGATTCCCGGAAGGCGGTGTCGGGGTCTAGCTGTGCTGTTGGGGGGGTGGAGGCTGGGTCCGGGGTTTCGGGGGTTTTGGGGGTGCGGTGGCGGTGGCGGTTGCGGTGCGCGCGGCGGGCGCGGTGCGCGGTGTGGCGGGTTTCTTTTTCGTGGGGGTCTTTGGGGTTGGGGTTGGGTCTGGAGCTGGAGCTGGGGCGGGAGGGCGATTTGAAGCGGAATCTTTTGCGGCGGGGTTGTTGTTGGTGCTGGTGCTGGTTGTCTTGGGAGGGAGGGTGAGGGGGTCGGGGTGGAGGTGAGGTTTGGTCGATTGGTTCGGGCATTTTGGTGGGCCCGGTTGAGGTGGTGAGGTGGTAGGTGGTCGTATGAGGTTGGTGATGGCTGTGGAATGGTGTGGGGAGGATGCGCGTGGTTGAATGAATACTAGGTTAGGTTCACGGCATTGTTGAGGTTAGGATGTTCGATTGCGATGGGAGAAGGGGAGTGGAGTTCTGGTGGTAGAAGAGGTGATTCGGTTGTGTTGGGGCGGTTCGTGATGAGGTTAGGTGTTGGGAAAGAGTCACGGTGTCGAGATAATGAAGGTGGTAGGTTAGGTTGGTGTTGAAGTAAATGTGGAATGAACCCAGCAGTGGAATCTACTCCGGACTCTTGGCGGGGACGGATGGCGGGACTCGGACATTGACGACGCATTACTGGATGCGGTATAGCGTGACTGCACTGAGGGACTACAAGCTAACTTTACTACGTAGTACGTAAGTTACTGGACAACTAAGATCACGTTATAACATTCTAGAAGCTATTTTCAACATCGAACAAGACCCTGGAACTTGCTTCGTGGTTGTATCATCACACAGAGGTGTCGTAGTCTCGCCCCTCTGAGTCCCCGATTTTTTTATCTCTGAATCTCATGGCGAGCAAGGAACCTCCAGATGGACCCATTCTTTGCAGAGCTGTAACGATACTCAACATCCCTCCACCACGAGGGACGGTCTCCAGTGGTGGATTGTCCACGTCCTTGGCTTCCTTTCTCTGGTGACGCCCTTCCCATGGGTCTCGCTCCGGCCGAGATGAGAGGCGCCAGCGATAATATGGTTTCATCACCAACTCGTTCACATTGAGAGTGACCACAATCGCTGAAATGGAAAAGGCAGCGGAACACCCGACTATGCAGCCATTAACACCTGGCATTTCCTTGGACTTGACGCACTACTTACACAGAATGGGAAAGATCCACTGATTGGGATAAGGGGATTCGGAAAAGACGGCGACGTTAAGTGCAAAAAGGGATGTAAGAAAGGAGAGGGGAAGCTGCGAGTGTGGTGTGTCAGTATGCATTGCCCACTGAGAGATGTCGCCTCGCCGCCGCAGGGCACACTCACAAATACAATCGTAACAATGGTGAAGACCATGGTGGTATAAGCCTGCTGTCGTCCGAATTCGGCGTCTTGGTTACCTGTATGTTTCTGGCGGATATCCAGAAGTGTGTTGATCTGAACGGTTTCAAAAATACATCATCAGACGGCGGGAGAGCTTCATGCTGCAATTTCAAGACTCACTGATTCTCGTGTGCTTTGAGCCTCTCGCTGCACGGCCTGTATCTTTATGCGCAGAGCGCGCATAGAGGGTGCAAGATCCTCCATTGAGGCAAGGTAGCTTGAAGAGCACACCGACTCTTGTGTTTTGGTCAGTGCGAGAAGGATATCCAACTCATTCTGGATGTCCTTGACCTCGTACAGTAGTTGGAACTCCAAGCCCAAGTCCCGCCTGGGCAGGGCTTCGGCGCCAGTCGATGCCCCGACGACCTCTTCAATGAAAGCTCTCGTCATTTTAATTTTCTCTTCGGCCTATGGAGGCGTCTTAGTATTCTGATCAAGCGGAAGGGAACCCCGAATAAATGCCACTTCTCCACACTCACCACGAGTTGAATTATATCCCGAAATATCTCCAGGGGCTGCTTCGGATTGTGGTTGCCTTTGACGCTGACACTTTGCATCTGCGGATCCGTGATGACTCTCAAAATAGTTTCCATCATTTCAGGAGCTGTTCTCGGACTCGGATGCTTGCCCCGCGACTCACTGAACACCAGGTCTTCCAAAACGAGATCGACAAAGGACTCAAAGTCGCATGTGCTGGTAGTCACAATGGTAGCTAGTCGATAGTCAGTAATGGGAAAGAGTGGGATTAGTACTTCGAGCCAGCGACCAAATGTCCACACCGTCATCAACAATCCATAGCCACAGCTGATCGACTGAAAGCACTGGAACTTTCCGAGATAGTTCGCTGGAAGGCTCGACTTCTGTTTTCCCTTTGCGAGAATGGGTCATCGGATGATTTCCACTGTTTCGCCATTCCAGGTATCGAGAAAGGACCTGTTCACGGTCTCGGATTGTGGTATCTGCCACAATGCTGTAGTGGTATTGATCGAGAGTCATACGCTCATGAACATTCAACGTGAGTCGATTCTCTTTTGATTCTGTGGTCGATGGTGCTGTCTTAGATGAAACTTCGATTCCACCAGACTTCGAACTCAACTCTCCGATCTCAAAAACTGTTAGAAACGGGATCTGTCAAAGATTAGACTATCGAGCATCTGTCACGAACAAGAGGAGCATACATAAAGCGCTGCTGATTCTTCATCATCACCGGCAGGGTCCGTCATATTCGAAGTTTCTCCTTGGGTTGTCCTTCCAGCTTTGTTCATTGGAGCAGTTACCTGAAAGTGTTTAGTGGATAGAAAAAATTGAAGATATTCTTAAGCAAGCTCCCACCAGTAATTGTGGCGTTATGTATCGTTTTCCACCCCCTGCAGGGCTTTCAATCAAGCCAAGCCTTAAGAGTTTCATCAAGTACTCGTGCTCCTCCTTGGTCTTGCGAGAATCGATCCCAACCCGCATGATTAGGTCCTACCAGGTCCAATGAGCGATCACATGGCTTGAAATACCAATCATTACTCTAAATCAGAGGCTCCGAACATACCTCGGCCAGTCGCATCTACTCGGAGAATTTGCCCTTGTTAACGTCGGACTCGAACAACCGCATTCAGAGCTCGGCACGTAAATTGTGGAGGGGGGCGTGAATTCATCGGAAATCCCTTGACTCTTTCTCGGTCAGTTGTTGTCTAGGAGCAGCGCTCTCATTCCTCTCCTGTTGCTATTCTCGCCTTGACATGGCCGATCGATCAGCAACATTTGTCTGGTCCACAGGCTCTTTTGTCTTGGCAGATCTGAATCCCACTTCATTGGATGACTCCAGGTCAATCGAGCTCGATTGTTGGTTCTGGTCTTTTAGATATTGCTTCAATTGAGTCAAGCTCGAGAAGTCATACTCTTCAACATGCTCCATTATAAGTTCAGGCCCTTTGTCGTAGATAATCTCACTCAGGGTTCTCCGTTTCATCACAAATCCCGCTCCATCAAAGAGATCCACGATGATTCCAGTGTTATTTTCGATGAAATGCTTGCTCTCCTCCCTAAGAATTGGTTTCTCAGGTTTGTGATAGTCGTCCTCAATAGCCGCGTGAGCGCTAACCCGTGGCGGGCTCTTAAGGAGATGAGAAATAACCGAATCAGCCTCGGACCGAGAACCATGATGGATCCTGCTTTCCAGTATCTGCACAGCTTGACTAATCTCTTTCTTGTTCAAGTGTGCTCCGTTCGAGAGCAGCAACCAGACCAGCTCCGGCCTGGCACTTTGCACAGCCCAATGCAGAGTTGTCCAGCTCGACGTGTCAACTTCCGCTTCTTTCTCGACGGTCTTCGGGTGTAAAAGATGTAAAAGGACCCTGAGTATCCGTTCACTACCAGGCTCCTCAAATTGGGCTGTAAGCTCCTAGAGTCGCTCGAGATCGGCGCGAGAGAAGCTTTTCAAGTTCTCCCTGTTGCTTGCAAAGGTTTCGATTTCCGCCCACAAAATGTCACTGGTACCTCTACCCTTGGCCTTCGCAGATAGACTGATTGCGGACTCTCCAAGCTTGTCATCTGCCATGATGAAATTAATCAATCTCGCTGTATCGCATTCGCGCGGGGTTGCAGCCCCCGGCCCTGGCGCCTGGTTCCCCGCCTGGCTTGTGAGGTGCTCCAGGAGATATCTCACCGTGACGCTATGTCCTCCTACACAAGCCAGATGAAGGGCAGTCATGCCACGCTCTGTGGTGGCGTAGACATCGACACCATACGTGGTCAGGTTTCTAGCCAACTCGCCGTGATCAAACCGCGATGCAATATGTAGCCATTTTGCTTGCATGGGACCCGAATAGTCAACGAGGATTGGCAGAGTATCCAGGCACTTCTTTGCCAAGGGCAGACTGCCGTTCACTACCGCCCAATGCATAACGATGAAGAGATTTGACTCCCATGGTTCGAGACGAGAGAATCCATCCAGTAAAGCCCTTTCCACTCGTTTGAGTTCGCGGGGCGTTGCTAGGCGGGGAGAGGACTCGAGCGGATCGGTGATGCTATACATTGGCATCTGAAATATCTGCAAGAGGGTCGGAAAATCGCCTATTGCTACGCTCGCTGGCATTGGCGTGTCACCCTCGAGGTCGGCAACGGTCATGTCAAGATCTGGGTCGGCAAGTAGTTCTCTGGTACATTCTTTATCCCCAAAATATATACTCTCTCTCAGGGGCGTGGCCTTCTTCTCGTGGTTCTGGGTGTTGAGCATTCGCCTTCGGTCTGATGACGGAATGCCGGGGGTCTGCAGTAGAAATCGCACCATCTCGATCTGATACTCGCAGACGGCAAAGAACAACGGAGTCCAGTCCGTAGAGCCAGTCAAGGTTACATTAGCCCCGTGGCTCACCAACACTCAAACACATTCAAGGTGACCCTCCCAGCAGGCATACATCAAAGGTGTCATATCTTCGGAATTCCGAGCATCAACCACCGCATACTTTGCCAGGAGCGCCGATGCGATCCTGGCATGGCCCCCAAGAGCGGCGTGATGCAAGGCTGTTTCTCCCTCGCTAGTCATAAGATCCACATCAGCATGACTGCGTAGTTGTAAGTGGACGATATCATCCCATCCCAAACTCCCAGCGAGGATGAGGGGTGTTCAGTCCTGCTGCCGCCTAGCAGCAGGTTTAACTCTGCGTGATCCATACCGAGACTCTTTCAGTCAAAGGTCGACAGTATATTCGAAGCTCACATTCAGAGCACCCTCGCTGATTAGCTTCTGCACATCCCCCACAGAACCGTTAACAATTGCAGCAATGATTTCCGAACCCCGATCGCGGTCAACGAGTTCCACGGAGGAGGTTCCTTCCGATGCTTCAGCTCCCTCGAGTGGGCTCTGATCCTGAGCCATATTGTGCTTGGAAATCAGCCTCTCGGATTCGTTGTGGTTCGGTGTAAATTGTGGCTTTGCGAAAGGATGTACGATAGCGCTTCACTTCACTCTGTGTAGGGGGAGAACTGCTTGTGCAGGGCATGTTTGCTCAATCTCAGTGTCAATGTGTAAGCAATCGCCGTGTATCAGTTCGCATCATGAGCCATACCGAATAAAGCTTAGTGGTCTTGCAAACACGTATGCAGCAAGACCAGCACGTAGCAACTTGGAACTTCCTGTCAAGCGACATACGGTAGGTTATATGCGGGGTTGTCAGCTTACAGCACCATTTGCTTCGGTGGATGTCAAAAAGGCATTTCAGCTACCCTGGAGGTAGTAAAAAATCAAAAAAAGTGAGTGCATCATCCGTGAATCGAACACGGGCCTCATCGATGGCAACGATGAATTCTACCACTAGACCAATGATGCTAGTTGATGTAATATCTTGTCCACTAGGCACTGTGTTCTTGCACCACCTTGATCTAGTCCAACTTCACAATCTAACCCATCCCTCAATCACCAATGATACTTCTAGATGCCAATTATTGATCCCTTACCCTTGCCAAGATGTGACCCCGAGGCAGTATGAAGTACTGGACTCCATGCTTATCAGCTAGCGCGGAGTCGGTTATCAGTCATCTATCTTGAACCATCATCATCCCATCAAAGCGGGGTAAACAATCCATTCGATCCTCTCGCGCAACAGCAACCGAATCATCATGTCTTCAATCCACCAAGCCGTACAAAATGTGCTCAAGCAATCCCCGGCTCTCTATCGTGGTCCGGGTGGTGCAGTGGCTATTCTTGAGGATGGAAACGTGCTTGGTCAACATGTCTGGGGATACGCTGATATCGACCAGCGCATTCCAATGACACCGGAAACGATGATGCCTATCTGCTCGATCACCAAACAGATGGTGTGCATGTGCCTTAAGGCACTGGAAAGACAACTGCAATCCCATCTCGGTGGTGACGACCAAGTCCAGTCGCATTTATACTCCCACTTCCGCGAAGTCTGGCCCGATAGCCTCGACTCCTTCCCAGGAGCCTCCAAACCGAGCCTCCGTCAACTCTGCGACAACCAATCCGGCCTACGAGACTACTGGGCCCTGACGACACTCTGGGGCGCTCGACCGGACGGAGTCTTTTCATTACCCGAAGCCGGTGAAAAGATGCTCGAGCGCCTAGGTACCCCTCATTTCACCCCAGGGACCCAATACTCGTACGCCAACACCAACTTCCACATTCTGGCCCAGGTCATCGAGCGCTGCAGTCGCACCTGCTTTCCCTCCGGAAACAAACCGCTGGGCGAGTGGCTCGGCGAGCATGTTTTCACACCGGCAGCAATGGCGTCCGCGCGCTTACATCCGGACAATGCCTCGTTGCCTGGAGATTGCGTGGGATACGAAGGGGACGAGGCGCGCGGCTACATCGCCGCTGTCAATCGGATCCACTGGTCCGGCGACGCGGGCGTCGTGGCCTCGCTGGCAGACATGATCGCGTACGAGAAGTTCCTCCATCGCAGCTGGGCGGACGAGACGAGCATCTATCGAGAAATGGCCCTCCCTCCCACGTTCGCGGACGGGACCCCGGCCCCCTACGGCTACGGCCTCGAGCACGTTGTGGTGGCGGGCGTGCCGACGGTTGGCCACGGGGGTGCTCTGCGCGGCTACCGGCTGCACAGGCGTCACGTTCCCTCTCAGAAGCTCTCTGTAGTGGTAATGTTCAACCATGATGCGGACGCCGAGAAGGCAGCGCAGGATATTTTGGCGAGGCTTCTGCAGAGAGATGATGTGCTACGCTCAGTGTCCCATAGTGTGACACTCAGCTCGCAAAATTGGCCGGGATACTACTGGGACGAAGAGGCTTGCCTGGCCATTGAGGTGAAGAATCGCCCTGATACTGGGGATATTATCGTCACCTACGCGGGCGAACCGGACACTTTGGTCCCCGTGCGACCAGATCGGGCTGAATCTCTCACCACTTTGGCCATGCTGGAGGATGACCGTCTCCGTCTCGACTGGCCGCAGCCGAATAGGCACATCACTGCTCACCGGCTTGTCCGCTCGCCTACACAGCCAGACGGGAAAACTTTTGCTGGAACTTATGTCTGCCGCGAACTGGACTCGACTTTCTATTGTGCCGAAAGTGGCGGACTGCTGTATGGATACTTTGATGGCTTTCTCGGCCGTGGTCCGGTGCATTTCATGCGTTACTTAGGCGAGTGCAAGAATGGATCAGTGTGGGCCTTGGCCTGTCCGCGGGGAATGGATGCCCCTGCGCCGGGGGACTGGAGTCTCTGTTTCACTTGCAGAAAGGATGAGCCAGTCTCGGAGGTGACGATCAGCTGTTGGCTGGCTAGACGTGCCGTGTTTGCACGGAGGTCGTAGCGGTTGGCTTCAGTTCGATATGGCTCAAGCCCACGCTCACGAATATGCCTTGTCTAGGCTTTTCGATGCTCTCCATAACGGCCTCGTGATTTCATATGTGGAGGATTATTCTAGACCGCCAATGATACTCGTAGAGTGACAGAATTCAAGCAGGAAGTTGAACGTTTTGACCTGAACGGTAGCACCATAGACTTAGGGCTACAGCATAGCTGTTATCTTATCTGACGGTCATCTGAAAGAGCAGCATGATGTCACAGGAATTCCTTTCGATGCAACATATAGGACCGCATTTGACTAGGACATCTTGCACAAGCCTCAGTGACTCGAATTATATGCCCGTGGCAGATAGAGTACCAAGCGACAAAAACCACCTGAAGTATACGCGCAAGGCCCGCAGCAATACACTCAAGCTAGAACCACTAACTTACCACGGAGGTCGACACACCGCCCTTATTGCCGCCTGAACCATCAGGCCATCAGGCCCCTAAAGCTACCACCGGCACCTGAACGTTACCAGATCCATCGCCGCGCCTGCAGCCCCAGCCAGCCAGCCAGCCAGCCCAGCCCGCAATCCCGCGCGCATCTCCGAATATTTGTTCCCTCAAAGCAACCAACCACCATTATCACCTTCATTACCACCTCCTCAAACCCCACCACACAGCTCGCATCCACACACCCACAGACCACAATGGCCCTAGTCGCCTACTCCGACTCGGAAGCCTCCGACTCCGAACCCGAAACCACCACCACCACCACGACGAAGAAACCCACATCCACCGCACCAGCACCAGCACCACCCTCCACAACCACCACCACAACCACAACCTCATCAACAACCCCAAACCCCTTCCAAATCGACCGCAGCAACCCCCGCAAAATCCGCGTCGCCCTCCCTGACCTCAAACCCGACCCTAGCACCAGCACCAACGAAGACACCGACGGACCCGCGCGCAAAAAGCCCCGAATCGGTGGCGGTGGCGGCGGCGCATTCGCGGGATTCAATGCGCTCCTCCCCGCGCCCAAGAAACCCGCCGCCACTCCTAAACCGCCCGCGACCGGATCCACGAGGAAGGTATTCAGTCTGAAGACGGGGGCGACGCCGGGGTTCGATCGGCAGGCGGACGCGGAGATGCGGAGTGAGATGGCTTTTGGGCGGTTAGGGGGCGAGGATGGGGATGAGACGATTCCGAAGGCGGGGAGTTTGCGGGGGGGTAAGGATGATATTCTGGGGGAAGGGGAAGGGGAAGGGGGAGGGAAGAACGAGGGTGCGAAGCCACCGCAGGAGGTCAAGTTGAAGGGGAATCCGATGATGTTCAAGCCGTTGTCGGTCGGGCGGGGGACGCAGGGGAAGGGGAAGCGGAAGGCCGCCGGGCCGATTGCTGTAACTGGCAGTGGTGGTGCTTCGGCTGCGGGGCCGTTAAAGAAGGATCTTGGGGGTGGTTCGTCGGCTGGTGCTGGTGCTGCACCACCTGTAGCGGCGGCTGCGCCAGCGCCAGCGCCAGCACCATCCAAACCCAAGATCAGTCTGTTCTCTCTCTCCTCGTCGACGGAGGAGACCGTCACCGCACCAGCAGCGCCAGCAGCGCCAGCAGCCTACAAACCCCTAGTCTACACCAGCACCCAAGAAGCAGCGGCGCCCGCCGGCCCCGAACCTGCCTCCGCTGCCGCTCCCGAACTCACACACCCCTCCTACACTCCATCTTCAACCGTATCAGGAAACACCACCCTCAGCGCCATCGCAGACGACCTCAACCTGACGCGCGCCCAACGGCGCCAGCTCTTCGGCCGGTCCGCCGACCCCTCCGGACCAGCCGCAACCGCAGCAGCCCCGCGGGTCCTCCACTTCAACACCGACCAGGAGTACGCCGCCAACCAGCAGATGGCCCACGAGGACCTCGCGGCCGCGCAGCATAACCCCGTCCGGGCGATCGCGCCGGGCAAGCATACGCTGCAGCAGTTGGTCAGTGCGGCGAGCACGCAGCGGGAGGCGCTGGAGGAGAGTTTCGCGACGGGGCGGAGGAACAAGAAGGAGGCCGGGTCGAAGTATGGCTGGTAGAGGATTATCTATCTTGCTGGGTGGGCTGGGTTGGGTGGTGATTGGGAGATTCTTTTGGCTTTTGGCCGCCGAGGGCCAAGGGCCAAGGGGGAAGTGGGAAGTGGGAG